ACAAGTCACTATCCATTTTTCATTATGCATCAAAGACTTGTACTTTCTACATCAGTAGTTGTATTTTGCACACCTGTCTAAAAGATTTCATAAAAGTAGGCATTGGGTGCAAAATGCTTTATTTTAGGGACCATTTTTTAGCCCTTGAATGAAGCTCTTAACTTGTGTATTTTGCAACTCAAATCATGCTATAAAGACTTGTACTTTATGCAATAGTAGGCGTGTCTTTCACCTAAAAACACTTGGTTTTTTTTTAGAGTATTTTTTGAGTACACGTCGCTTAGAATTTGGGACCTTATGGTTAAATGGTGAAATCAGTACTCATATAATATTAAATTCACAATCTCCATCGTATAAAGACTTGTACCTTATGCATAAATAGTTGTTCATCACGCAACTGGTTTTACCTTATAAGATTTGAGACATTTGTTTAAAAAATTTATGATCTTAGGAATAAATAAATAAATTTCATATGTGAAAATGCTCATTTTAAAATATAAATAATGTTTTTAGTCATACGAGTAAATATCTTAAGATGTTTGTTTAATATTAAATATTCCGTTATTTTAAAGTTTTAAAGCACAAATATACGTAATTGTCGGAAGTATGTTTTTTTCCCTTTTAATAATGACATCCATGTGGTGTGAAATGTGCATCCCGGCGCATGATATCTGTGTGGGCTACCCGTCTTTCTTTTACGCAAGTGAGTAGTAGTAAATGTTACACATCAACTCCTTTAATAAACTAATAATTGCTACACGCCCCCCCATGTTTCCCCACCAACATGCTTTTCCACCCTTTGCAATCATGATGAAAGAATGTTTTTCCATTTTTGCCCCTTATTGTCCCTTTGTTTTGTTTTCCTTCAATCTCACGCTCCTTCGCTACTTACACATGTATTTCCCTTTTTGGAAATTTGGATATTCATTCATGAGTACAACCGGTTGATGCATTGACTAGCTGTACCCTACCCAACAACCAACTAAAGCATTGATGAGTTGCATAGTTAAACCCTTTATTGGGATATCACAAATTCATACAACTAATTAATTGATCCACTTTTATACGATTTACATCTCACATGATTTTATACATGTACAGTGTGGGTCAGCACAGGGGTTGTTGTTGTACAGTGTACTAACGAAACATGATTATTTTGCAGGAAGTAGAGGATCGGGCCGGACGCCGCTAGACTGGGACCACCGGATGAGAATCGCACTAAGTGCCGCCAGAGGAGTGGCATACCTCCACGTCGCCGGAAAAGTCGTGCACGGCAACATCAAAGCATCAAACATCCTCCTCCGGCAAGAAACCAACCGCGACGCGTCCGTTTCCGATTTCGGTCTCAACACGCTGTTCGGGGGGTCAAGCTCCCCGAACACACGTGTCACAGGGTACCGAGCACCAGAGGTGCTCGAGACCCGAAAAGTCACATTCAAATCGGATGTGTATAGCTTCGGGGTACTCTTATTGGAGCTTTTAACAGGAAAAGCTCCAAACCAAGCGTCATTGGGTGAAGAAGGGATTGATTTGCCACGGTGGGTACAATCGGTGGTGCGTGAGGAATGGACTGCTGAGGTTTTTGATGTGGAATTAATGAGGTATCAAAATATTGAAGAGGAAATGGTTCAATTGTTGCAAATAGCAATGGCGTGTGTATCGACTGTGCCAGATCAGCGACCTGCGATGCAGGAGGTTGTTAGGATGATGGAGGATATGAATCGCGGGGAAACGGATGACGGGTTGAGACAGTCATCTGATGACCCGTCTAAAGGGTCGGATGTGCATACGCCGCCCACCGAGACCCGAAACTCGCCAAATACTGTCACACCGTGATCCGGATAATTTGAATGAAAATAGAGTAGAGATTTTTTTTTAAATATTTTTTGTTTTTGGTGTTTTTATGTTTCTTTTCATATTTTGAATTGATTTTTATGGGTCGGGTTGGGTTGGGGTTTCATGGGCAATACTGCATCACTTCATCAGTGTTTATGTCATTATGTGTTATTCTTTGGTAAATCTCAAGAAGAAATTGTTGCATATGGTCGTTTTTTAGTTCATATCTTAAGTTTGTTTTTTTAATACTTTATATTACTTGTATTAATTTTTATTCTCCAAATATAACGTCTTTTTCATGGAATATTGAGATTTTTTTAAAGTTTACATTTAATATGATTAATGTCACTCGCCGGGGGTATCTCTAAATTATTATAACGCCTTTTTGTTTTGGTTTGTTTTGTTATTTAACTGGTTGAATGATATATAATAAATTAGTATTTAAAATTTATTGTTATTTTTTGCAAACATGCTTAAATCATAGGTTATAATTTCTGTATTTCTTTGGATAAGTCGACTTAATTTGAATGTTATATTTGAAAAGTCAAATGATTATAAAAAAACAAATTAGCTATAAACAATAAAACTGAAAGAGTCAAAAGCAACTCACAGTATAATATCATATTAAATACTTCAAATTTAATAGTAGTAATCTCAAAATTATTTGAGTTACTTTTAAAATAAACTCAGCAATTTTTATTGTAAAATTTTATATTGATCTTTTTCTCTTTTTCTTTACGCAATACAAGGCTTTTTATCTTTAGCAAGACTACAGTTCGAATTAACACATTTGGTCTGCAAAAGTTTTTTTCAAGTACGTAGTTCTATAAGACCAAACGGTATACACTACATGAAATCGTCCCTGGTATATGTAACATTTTGATTTCCAGGTATGATATTTAATTAAATTATATGCATTTTGTCAAGGGAACTAGACGAGTTGGAGGCCCCAACTCGCCGAGTAGAGATTGAGATGGCCACATGATTTTTAGAGAGAGAGACTAAGCCTTTCATTCCGCCTCCTTTATCACCTTAACCCACTAAGAGAAACCCTAATCGAGCTATTACCATTTGTGTGTGTGTGAGAGAGAGAGAGAGAGAGAGAGAGAGAAAGAGAGAGAGAGAGAGAGAGAGAGAGAGAGAGAGAGAGAGACTAAGCTTGTATGTTTTAGTGCATTCTTTGAAGGAGTTTGAGGAGCAAAAGGTTTGGAACGAGAAGGAGCACTTGAATTCAGTATTCTTTAAGTGTTAGTTGCTATTTAGAGGTAAAAAGCTATCACCTTGACCATTTGTTTGTTAGATCTCTTCACTCGGGAGTTTATGACCATTTCCATCTTCTTTTTGAGTCCTTTAGTCTTTTAAGCATGCCTTGAAGATGAGACTTCAGATCTGGACAGTATGAGGTCCCTTAGGCCAACAGATTCAAGCTTTATCAAGCTATTGGCAAACTTTCATGCATTAAACCCTTATGGAGCTTTGGGTTGGCAAACTTAGCCCTAGATACCATGCATGGATGTAAAGCTTGCAGCTTTATGTGATATTTCAGCCTTAGAAGGCTAGATCTAGAGTATGAGGCCTTAGTTCTGTTAAAAACGTCTGAATGAGCGAATGAACTGAAGGGACTCGACAAGTTGGTGAGCTAACTAGACGAGTTGGTTAGGGTTTTCCCCGATAGTCTGGACGCATTACAAACTCGACGAGTTGGTGAGACAACTCGACGAGTTGAGTTGGATTTTTCCGATATTTCAGAACGAAGGAACTCGACGAGTCGCATAGATGCACTCGACGAGTTGGGTTAACATGGACTGTTGACTTCCATTGACTTTTAGGGTTTGTTCAAGTTATGGATTACGGACCATGGAGGGATAAAATGATCTTTCACCCTTTCCGAGAATTAGAAAAAGCGTTAGCTGTTATAAAGTGTTAATTAGAGATGATTATGATATGTAGGCGGAGTCTAGACCGATCGTTGAGTACGAGACCTACCTGCTTACGTACGAGGTGAGTCTTCTCACTATACTTACTTGATTGGTAATACTTTGTGACCAGAGGGTCTTATCTGAGTATTGACCAGAGGGTCTTATGTGCTTATACTGACTTATGTGATATATTATGCATTTCGTCTTTGTGATTTATGCTGTATATTATTCTGTGCCTTATTGAGTTAAGACTGGAGGGTCAAAACCGAGCTGTGAGACCATAAGTTCCTCACTGAGATACCGGACCGGAGGGTCCAACCCGAGCTGTGAGACCGAAGGATCTTTACTTAGATACCGGACCAGAGGGTCCAACCTGAGCTGTGAGACCAGATGGTCTTCACCGAGACACATAACCGGAGGGTCCTTATCAACTATAGCCATGAGAGGCTAATTTATAGTGTGTGTGGTATTTTGGGGAACCCACTAAGCTTCATGCCTACAGTGTTGTGTGAAATGTGTTTCTGGTACCTCTTAGGATCGTGAAAAGGCGCCAACTTGATTGTACACATTTTGTTGTATTATGTTTTTGAACAACTTATACATCTGTTGGGTTTTTGAGAAATGTGATATTGTGATTTATGTGATTTTAAAAATGAATAATTTGTTCGAAAATTTAGAGTGTTACAGTATACGTGGCTAAGAACCACAATCGTACACTTTAACGCCCGTAGATCCGGGCTATTCAATTTAGAGACGATAAGCATCAAAAATGACTTTTTGATGGAAGATTATTTAGAATGATTAATCTTAACCAAGTTGTAGTATATGTCACAAGGTTTCCGTGCATATAAAGAACACCAAAATCCGAGTTATAACGAAGAAGTTATGACCTGTCGAAGTTTCGCGACAACACCGACACGACGCTGAATGACGTAAAAAGTGAATTTACGTTAGAGTGATATTTATCCTTATCAATCTAAACGAAAGTCGTAGAGTTCGTTAAACCATGAGTGTGCATAAAAAGAACGTCCAAATCTGACTTCGTATGAGAAGTTATGATTTTTCTAAGTTTCGACTTAGCAGTATGCAATCCGAATACTCGATTTGAGATCAAGCGGTTTTTAGCCGAAACAATCTAAACAAGAATCGAAGATCTCGTTAATAGTAGTGAAACGATAAAAAGATAGGCGAAAACGGACATCGGATGAAGAAGTTATGAATTTATAAAGGAGTTTTCCTATCCCGGCCTACTAAAAATAAATAATGAAAATAAATTCAAAATTAGCCAACGGAGTCTAAACGAAATTTGTAGATCGTAGTCTCACCTACGCGGGGATATAAAGAACGTCGAAAACGGAATTCGTATGAGGAAGATATGAATTTTTGAAGTTTATTAAATAAGTAAAGTATTTAATTTAAATAAAAATTCGGATATTATCCAAAGGGGGGAGTCACCGGGCTTATCCACATTACGCCCAGCGTAACATAGAACTACACCCAGCGTAATTCGGTTTTCAGCCCCTATAAAAGGATGTCATGGGCAGCCGATTCTTTTGCTCATTTCTTCCCTTTACTCGCGTTTTTGCATCGTTTTTCGTGCAAGAATTATCCCGAAGCCCCGGTATCATTCCCGAGCCCTGAAGCAAGTCCCGAGGCCCCGAAGATCCCAAGAAATGCAATTCCCGAGCCGAAGCTCTGCCCGCGAGGAGTCCGGTTTTTGTGAAAATCTTCCAGATCTACCGAAGAATACAACTTCTACAAGCCGTAGTGTTGTCCGATCATCTGATGATCAAGTGAGTGTATGGTTACTTTCTTCTAACGCATAAATATTAAGTATTTGCTATGAAATACGTGCTATGTGTATAATATAAAGTTGTTTATATGTGTGGGTGTATAGTCCCTTTCATAAACACGAGTATAATATAAGCATTGTTTGAATGTATTAAGTATATGTTTAGGTGAACGTGTGGTTACTTTCTTCTAACACATAAATATGAAATATTTGTTATAAAATACGTGCTATGTGTTTATATATTGTTGTTTATTTGAGATGAGTGTGGAATGGATGTTTTATATAGTTTTTAAATGAGTTAAACTGTATATGTATTTTGTATCTACAAATATGTTGGGTAGAACATGGGTAGATGAGATAGTTGGTATGTGATAAAATGATGAGGTATGAAAGATGCGCTTAAGAATAATATCAGTAGATGCACCAAGTAGTGAATGTCGTAATCCTGGCAGATGCGCTTATAGGATAATGTCGGCAGATGCGCCAAATAGAGAATGTCATAATACTAGCAGATGCGCTTATAGGATAATCATAGCAGATGCGCTTATAGGATAATGTCGGCAGATGTGCCTAAAAGAGAATGTCATAAACCTGGCAGTCGCGCCTCATAGTGTATGACGTAATCCTGGCAGAGGCGCTTAAAGGATGATGTTGGTATATGCGCCTTATGTAGGAATAGATTTTGTGCTAATTCCTTAGGTCAATCCTTAGGAATGAATGAATGACGGGTTGTTGAATTCTTAGGGTAAAATCCTAAGAAATAAAGAAGATAATGGGGATGGGTAATTGGGTTGATTGTTTGATGGTTGAATATAATAATTATATTATTGTGGGTTGAAAACCCTATATGCTCACCAGGCTCCCAAGCCTGACCCACTCAGTTTTCTTTGTATCACATATATCGATACGAAGATATATTTCACGGAGAGATTAAAGGAGATGTAAAACCTTTAGTGTAAATAATGTAAGTTCTGTTTATGCTTATGTGTCTGTATCGGAACATGATATCCCAATATTTTGTTATATAATGAAAATACATTTCTTTAAAGAAATGCTTTGATAATTTTTATCATATTTTGTTTTAGGAACAAATTCCGCAACTGTTTTCTTTAAAAGATTACTCTGATTTTAAAAACAAAGCATAAACAAATCGGTCTTTTCTGGCCGAGAAATTAGGGATGTCACAGTTGGTATCAGAGCATTAGTTTAAGCGAACTAGGAATTTGTAGGATTTTTAGACTTAAACTTAAAATGCTAAGTGAAATTTTGAGATGTGTGTCTGTTATGTT